TCCCCTACCATTTGTCTCTGGATCTATTCTTGTTCATCAAATTATGTTGATCTCATATTATTTATTACTAATAAAATATATATTATATAAATATCCTTCGGCTAGTTTGTAGAATTCTCAATTTGTCATATCGATCTGTTGTGACAGCTACAAGCTTAAATAATCACCTTCTGTCACTGACACAACTAAGCTGTTGGGAGTCAGTCCCAGCAATGCCCCCACCTTGCCTAAGCCACCACCTGTGCACGGGGTAGGCAGAGCATGGCTGCAGGGGCCAGTCCTAGCGCTCACACAGGTGCTTCCTCAGAGGTGCAGGGACTGAGACTTGCTCCCCAGCGGCTCCCCAGTAGCCCACATGAGCTCTGGGACTTAGCTCAGTATGGAGGCCAACTCTAGTAAAGCTCTTCAGGGAACCGCTGCATGTCCTCCCAGCTGGCGTTCCCTCCCTCTGCAGGAACCGTGGAGTAGGGAGCCTTCACTCTCATACCTCCTGAACCTCGCTACTCCAGGTGTGGTCCCTGACTAGCAGCATGAGCATCACCTGGACGCTTGTTAGATGAAATGAGACATTCTGCATTCTAACAAGGTCCCAGGTGGCTCGCCTGCATGTGCCCGTTGAGAAGCCTGCGCTGTCCTACCTAATTCCTTGTCTTCCATGACACCTGTTCCAACTGACACATACAGATATCTTGGGCATTTCTGACACTTAAGGCACCATTCTCTGGTTTGTAGTACAGACACAGATTTGTCCCTTATATTCCTTCAGTCATTACGGGAGATTCAGAAAAGTTCCGTTTATGCTCTGCAATTGGAGTCCAGTGTACCTGGTAAAGGACTTCGAATGAAGTCTTCTGCCAGCTCCTCTCTGACAACCTTCCTTCTCTAAGCAAATGGTTCCCACGCCTGGTTCTGCGTTAACACTATTCAAAGTGCTAATCCAAGTCCCAAGTCGCCTGGGACAAATGCCCAAGTACTTACTGCTGGAAGGGAATAAAATGCTGCTTTTCTTCATCATCCACCTTCCCACGTATGATGTCGGTGATATCCATCACTAGGAAGAAGATAAACTTAATTAAAGACACTAATTACTTCAGGCCTCCCTGGGTTCCTATGGAGAACTAAGAGTATCAGCAGCTTAGGACACTGGGGGAGGAAGAGGCCACATCAGAGACATCGATTTCTTTGCCAACAAGGATTCCCAGGTGCCAGCCCAGCAAAGAGCAATGAGAGGAGCTGCCCGCTGCGGGGGCTCAGATTTCCTGATAACCCTGCCAACTAGTCCCTTTTCAAAGTTCTACAGGACCCAGTCGCTAAATTCTTGAGAAATCGGACACCCTGATGGCTTTTGAGTGAGCCTGCATTCAAAGGCTCAGAGAACACACATTTTGGGCACAAGTGTCAACAGAATAAGAGGCCTGGCAGGGAAACACAGTGGTCAGCTGTCCCTGATTTACCATCTTCTCACCTGATTCACACTTGAACAAAGAGAAGCCAGAGAGCCAACCCAGGCCTGGAGGATGCCAGAGCGGCTTGCTTTTCCATGGGCAAGAAGCACAATAAATAAAGTACTGCTCTAAGCCTCCTGCATAGTATTATCTTACGTGTACAGACATGGTGAGCCCTACTTTAAGAGATGAGAAACTGAGCACAGCCCAGGTAAGGAACTTGCCCTAGGTCAGCAGTTTTAAGTATAGAAGCCAGGGTCTGAGCCAAAAGTGATTACAGGCCAAATCACTGAACCTAACAATCCCTCGCTGTTTACAATAGTAAATGGGCCGTTCTCCAGCTGCTGAAATCCGGCAGGGCCCATGGCAAGAGGCAGGGCATGGCATCCCCCTGCTGTCAGCCTTCAATGGAACCCTGCAAAACTGTACAAATAACACACCAAACCTGCAACACTTATATTTGACACCCCCTCCCACCCCTCCAAATAAAAACAATAGGCGGTTCGTTTGTCTTTGCCACATCTAGTTACTCCTAAGCTCTGCTGATGCTCGGAATCAAGGGTCCGAGCAAGGAAATCTCTCCTTTCCCATCACACCCCATGCCCTGAACACACACACACACACACACACACACACACACACACACCCTGATACAGAAAAGCCACCAAACATCCTGCTTGATGTTCTCCCAATTTCTTTGGCTCACTCTGAATGACAACGACGTCTACTATGCCTTAACTCCTTAGGCACAGTTCTCAACCTGTGGGTTGTGACCCCTTTGGGGGTCGAACGACCCTTTCACAGGGGCCGCCTAAGACCATCGGAAAACACATATATAGCCCTGACCGGTTTGGCTCAGTGGATAGAGCGTCGGCCTGCGGACTGAAGGGTCCTGGGTTCGATTCCAGTCAAGGGCATGTACCTTGGTTTCGGGCACATCCCCAGTAGGGGGTGTGCAGGAGGCAGCTGATCGATGTTTCTCTCTCATCGATGTTTCTAACTCTCTATCCCTCTCCTTTCCTCTCTGTAAAAAATCAATAAGATATATATTAAAAAATAAAAGGAAAACACATATATAATTACATATTGTTTTTGTGATTAATCACTATGCTTTAATTATGTTCAATTTGTAACAATGAAAGTGGGGGTCACCACAACATGAGGAACTGTATTAAAGGGTTACGGCATTAGGAAGGTTGAGAACCACTGCCTTAGATCAATAGATGGTCATGTAGACGGCTAACCAATGCTGGGCCAGCCTCTTGCCTTTTCTGAGATTTCACTTAAATTCTCTATCAGGAGGTGATGCTGTGCCCTCTGGTCACAGACTGCCAGCCCTTGAGCAGCAGCTGGAGGGCAGGGCTGTTCCAGGGATGTAGACATACAGTCCCTCAGGATACAGAGGCCGTCTCATTATTCACACAACCCTGGTAACATGGGGTTTCTGGGTCCTTGTTCCAGGAGCAAAATTATGACATTTCACTGATGGCTTTCCAAACTACCTAGTGACCAAAATTTCAACATAAGACTGAAAATATATTTTCTCAATTTAACAAACTACAGAGGAAAGGAAGGGCCACTTGGAAGGTTGTAGGGTTTGATTTAAGCCAGGGATCCTCTCTGAAAGCAGTTACAGTGTTGCCTTTGAAGAGTAAATTCCCTAGACCCGTGGTCGGCAAACCTCGGCTCGCGAGCCACATGCGGCTCTTTGGCCCCTTGAGTGTGGCTCTTCCACAAAATACCACGTGTGGGCGCGCACGTACAGTGCGACTGAAACTTCGTGGCCCATGTGCAGAAGTCGCTATTTTGTGGAAGAGCCGGTCTTTTGTGGAAGAGCCACACTCAAGGGGCCAAAGAGCCGCGGTTTGCCAACCACTGCCCTAGACAGTCACTATCCAGGGACAATTTACTGGACTAAAATCAGTAATGAACGTGTGGCCGTAGGAAGGGAGGATATTCGAAGGCATGATGAAGGGCCTGCTGCGTGCAGGACACTGTGCTGGCACAGGACAATGCTCCAACTACCAGAGCCACCCCGGCCAGGGCCAATTTAAGTGGGCATTTCTGTGGCATGAAGTCCATTCAGATGGTTGTGCCATCACCACCATCCACCTCCACAATGTGTCATCCTTGTCCCCATTAAACACTAACTCCCCGGGGAGTTCCTGTCCTCCTCCAGCCCCTGGTAACTACCATTCTACTTCCTGTGTCTATGAATTTAACCATTCTATGCATACTTCATGTAAGTAGAATCATATAGTAGAATCATTTATCTTTTTATGACCGGCTTATTTCATTTGATATAATATCTTCATGGATCATCCAAGTTGTAGCAGGTGTCAGAATTTCCTTCCTTCCTTTTAAGGCTGAATATAGTCCATTGTATGGACATACCACATTTTGTTTATCCCATTCATCCATCGCTGGGCACCTGGATTGCTTCCACCTTTTGGCCATTGTGAATAATGCTGCAGTGAGCATGGGATGTACAATTATTTCCATGAGACCCTGATTTTAATTCTTTTGGGTATACAACCATAAGAGGGACTGCTGGGTTAGAAGCCCTATGTTTAATTTTTAAAAAAAAAATATGTCTTTATTGATTTCAGAGAGGAAGCGAGAGGGAAAGATGGATAGAAACACCAATGATGAGAGAGAAACATTGACTGGCTGCCTCCTGCAAGCCTCCTACTGGGGATCAAGCCTACAACCCAGGCATGTGCCCCGACTGGGAACTGAACCTCGGCCTCCTGGTTCATGGGTTGATGCTCAACCACTGAGGCATACCAGCCAGGCTATGTTTAATTTTGGGGGGCCTCCCACACTGCGTTCACAGGGACTGTACATTCTACATTCGTCTCTGGGTCTTCCCATACCTGCTACCCCAAAGGGTCTCCGCAGTCCACAGGTGTGCTTTTTGGCCTCCTTCAGCTCCATGCGGCCCACCCGGACGATCTGGCACACGAGGCTGATGCGGGGCCGGATGAGGTCGGTGCTGCTGAGGTCCTAAAGAAGCAGAGCGTCACAGGGGCCACACCACATCACCTGTCACCTTCGTTCCTCTTTTTATTTTTTAAAATATATTTTTATTATTGATAGTATTACAGGTATCTTCTATTATCTCCTCCTTTCCTCCCCTCCTCCCAGCCCCTACCCACCCATCACCCCTCTTATTATTCTCACTCTACAACAGAACACCACTCAGAGCATATTTCCCGATGCTGAAAGATCAAAATGCTTGCTCTCTTCTCCCTATGTGCCCAAGAAAAATGACTGTTTTTCAGAAAAATGACTATTCAACAGCGAAAAGATATTTATTCCCTAGTTCCTACTTCAAATTTATAAATCAGATCCTATTTAATCTAAAGTCCCTGGTCCATCCATTCAAGCAGGGTATTCAAAATCAGGACACTTGTCAGGGCTACTTTATATATTGCCAAGATATATCTGAGTACAGGATGCATTTCAGTGTCTAATGAGATTAAAACGCGTGTGGTACTGACATTTATTGGGTAGCCACACATGCTGGTTTCCTTTCATCTTCCAAACAAGCCTGCAAGGCAATTATAACACAGAAATTTACATGCAGCGCTTTTCGTAACTGTTCATCTGCTTTAGGAGGCATCACTGAGAGCTCCTGGGTGTATGTTGATTGATAAGTGATGTGTAGGTGAAATATCTGTTTCTTTGTAGCTCATGTTCTACACTTGTTTGTATTCTTTTTCTTTTTAATCTTCACTGGAGGATTTTTTAAAATTCATTTTAGAGAGACAGGAATGGGGGGAGAGAGAGAGAAACATCAATGTGAGAGAAAAACACTAATCAGTTGCCTCCGATACACGCCCTGATTCGGGATTGAACCTGCAACCTAGGTATGTGTCCTGACCAGAAATCGAACTCAAAGCCTTTTCTTGGTGTATGGGACGATGGTCCAACCAAATGAACCACCAGTCAGGGCTACACTGGTTTGTATTCTTAAGGATGGGTGAGAAACCCATGAATGAGCTCTCATATCTCATTCACTTTAGCACCAAACAGAATTGAATTGCATCCCAAATTCTTTTCATGAAACAGCTGTCCAAGGCCTTTTTACTGAATCAAGAATTACTTTTTAAACAATCATTCCAAATCCATCCTCTGTAATTTACTTAAACCTCCAACATAGGAATAGGAATACAGAACAATGATAATATCAACCTTGAATTTCTACTCTTGGTTTTGTAAGGCTTCTGTTAAGAGAGAGATAATGGCTCCAGGCGACTCGTTAGATAAATTGTAGCACATTCATATGATTTAAGAATATGCAAAAACTGATAAGGTTTTTGAAGAAGGCTTTATGACCCAGGAAATGATCACTACATTCTTTTAAGTGAAAAAGCTGGACATGAAATGTATATACAAGAAGGTCCTAACTGGAAGGAGGGATGGGGAGGGAGATGAATTGCAGCTATGCAGAACTGATTAGAAGATGGACCAAAGATTCAATAATGCTTTTTAAAATCTTCACCCAAGGATACGTTTCCATTGATTTTTAGAGAGAGGAAGGGAGAGGGAGAAAGAGAGAAACATCTATTGGTTGCCTCAACCGAGGATGGAACCTGAAACCTGGGTATGTGTCCTGATGGGGAATAGAAGCCGAGGCCTTTCTGTGTGCAGGGCAACACTCTAACCAACTGAGCTACACCAGCCAGGGCCCAATAATGACTTTTTGAAATGTGTTTTCTTTTTTAATGTACACAGTGACTGATAAATGCCTTCTGATTTTAGGGAAAAAACTCCCATATCTCAGAAATAAGGAAATACTCTATGTGTTGGGGGCAGGTTTTGGGAAGAGTTAGTTCTAAGTGCTTTTTTATCTACCTTTACCAGGTGGTGAAGATACAGATGGGTCAGTGCAGAGATAGGCATCAAACCATGCCTGTCTTAGGGATGGGATGTTAATAGAAGAAATGAATAATAATGAGAAATGAATGGATGAATGAATGGACAAGCCCATAAGGGACCACTGCTCCTTCCCATCACTTCATTTGGAGCTCTACCTTAGACTCTGCTTTCCTTGCCATAGAGTGGTGAGAGGGCGTGGACATAAAACAGGGGTGTGGCTTAAGGAAAAAAAGGGGGGAAAGGAAGGGCGTATCTCCTTTAGGCCCAATGGTTGCTGGGGAAACCTGTCTTCTCAGTCTTTCCAGAGCAGGAGGCAGCAGCTCTAGGGTATTTCGAGCACTGAAGTCATAACAAAGTGAGAGAATCCTGAGAAGGTTCTTAGCCCGAGTGAAATAGAGTCACCATGCCCAAGCTACAGCCCAATAAATTTCCTTGTCTTGATGCATATATAGCATTACTTCTCTTACCTTGAAAGGAGGAGGAAAGGGAAGGCCATCCAAATATATGCAAACAAGAAAGTCCCATCTTTGCCTGAGCTGTAACCTGGTTCTGAAATGCTGGGGAAATGCTAGTGCCCGATGAGCACTGCCCACTCCCTTCAAGTTCTTGCTTAAAAGGCTCCATCCCAGAGTTCTGCCTGATACACCTTTTTTTTTTAAATGGCAACCCTCCCCTAGCCCAGAAACACCCGATCCCCCCAAAACACTTAACCGTTGCAGACTGATCACAAGAATTCCCGCTTCATATTACACAGTGTTTTATAACTATCATACTTTAAAAAGATATTAGCTTGTAAGAATATATAATAAATAACTTCAAAATGCAAAGGGTATTTAATTTTAAAGCATGCCTTTAACATTTATATAAAAACGTTTTTTGTACTCGTTCAATAGAAACTTATCTGGCCACTGGGTAAAGTTAGCAATAAAACTACTGGTCCGCAATGTGTTAAGATTGCTAACATTCTACAGGATTTACTCATTTATTTTATTACTTAGAGGCCCGGTGCACAAAATTCATGCACTGGAGGGGTGTCCCTCAGCCCAGCGGGCACCCTCTCCAATCTGGGACCCCTCGGGGGATATCCGACTCCCCGGGGAAGCTGGGACCTGCCCCCTGGTGGGGCTGCGGGAACTGTGGCAGCAGGCAGGCGTGCAGAGCAGCCGGCCCCGCCCTCGCTGTGTGTGCCGCCATCTTGTGACAGCATTACGGTGTGAGGGTTAATTTGCATATTGCCTCTTTATTATATAGGATTGCCTATTACTGTCTTTCCCATTTGGACAAAAGCTTCTTGAGCAAACATTTTTCTGATGTGTTCACTGATGTATCTCAAGTGCCCTGATACTCAGTGTCCAGCATCTAATTGGTGCTTGACAAGTATTTGTTGAACAAATGAGTGGGTTATTCCTGCTAGGGGGATTATGATGACTTTTGTTTAATAACCTGTATTTTCACTGTTTCAAGTTTTAATGTTTTTCATATACCTATCATGTGCATCCACTAATATCATAAAAAAAGAAAATGATTAAACAGAAGGTAGGACTTACAGTGAAAACCGCCTGAAGGTTATTAAGCTTCTCGATTTCCTTGGGCATCCCGTTACTGCCCCAACGAATTAGGTAGTTCTCACTGGTGAAAGAGAAAAACTGATTCTTAACAAGAAGTTAACTGGGCTTGGAGCTGCCCACAGTATAGACTGGCAGGGTAAAAGCAAGGCCCAGAAAAGCTGTTAAATTCGTCAGGCGGGTGTGAATGGAGCCTCCTGCAGCCCATCCCCATAGGCACACCCTGTGTGGACCGGGGACAAGCTGTGCTCAAGATGGACAGACACAGCAGATTCCATCTGGGGCCTTTCTTCCACCTCAAATTCTGTCTAAACATTTCAGCTTTGCTGAATCAAGATATCATTTTATAATATTCACTCTAAATCCTTCCCCTGGAAAACATATCACAACACTCAAATACAATTTCTATTTTAGAAATAAAAAATCTGTTTTTAATTACTTTTAACCATCTTCTTCAAAATACATCTTAGCTGCTCAGCAGTAATGCCACTGTAGGGCCAAACAAAGCCTATTATCATTCCCACTAGTCATTAAAAATATTGTATAGACTTTATCTATTAGGGCAGTTGTAGGTTCATAGCAAAGTTGAGCAGAAAGTACAAATTTCCCATATACCCCCTGCCCTACCCGTGCACAGCCTCCCCACTATCCATGTCCCCCACCAGAGCAGTGCATCTGTTACAGTCGATGACCCTACATGGATGGACACATCAATTATCACCCAGAGTTTACATTAGGGCTCACTCTTCGTGTTGCACATTCTATGAGTTTGGACAAATGTATAATGACATGTATCCACCTCTGTGCTCTGCAGAGTCAGCCTTCCCCACACCCCCCCTATTATCTTTTGAGCTCTTTGTTCCCGTCTCTGTGTTCTGATGAGTTTTACGTGATTTCTAAGACCCAGGGAGTCCACAAAACCGTTATTGCACTATTTCAGCAGCCAGACAAAAGGCTTTTAGCCCAAAGGATTTTATTTTCTTCTGCCCAGACATCCTTCCCACTCTTTTCTGTCTTCCCCTCTCACACCTAACCTCAGGCAGGGTAGGTGAAGGCTGGATATTTTTGTGAGGTGGGCAGCTGATGGCTGGGTCTCTATTACCTGATGAACGTGGACTGGTCAGGGTCATAGAGGGCCATGAACAACTCTGCATCTTCCCCGATGTTGCACACAAAGTTCTTGAAGTTAACATAGAGGCCATAGGTGTGGAAGGTATTGAAGTTGGACTGGCCCCGCAAGTCCAGGTTCTGCAGGAGTGACTGAACACAGAGGACAAGAGAGGAAAGCATCTTGTTTTCAGCAAATGGGAAATATTGGCAAATGCGCCTGGCCGGCGTGGCTCAGTGGTTGAGCTTTGACCTATGAACCAGGAAGTCTCTGTCCAATTACCAGTCAGGGCACATGCCTGGGTTGTGGGCTCAATGCCCAGTCGGGGGTGTGCAGGAGGCAGCCAATCAATAATTCTCTCTCATCATTGATGTTTCTATCTCTCCCTCCCTTCCTCTCTGACATCAATAAAAAAATGTATTTAAAAAATTGGCAAATGGGGGACAAGCAGCTCGTCCTGTATGGCTCAGTGGTTGGCCCATGAACGAAGACGTCACCAATTCGATTCCCCATCAGGGAACATGCCAGGGTTTCAGCTCAATCCTCAAGGGGGACATGCAGGAGGCAGCCGATCGATGATGTTTCTCTCTCATTGATGTTTCTATCTCTCCCTTCATCTCTCTCTAAAAATCAATAAAAACATATATATTTTTTTAAATGGGGACAAATTTGGCTCAGGGGATAGAGCGTCAGCCTGCGGACTGAAGGGTCCCAGGTTTGATTCTAGTCAAGGGCACATGTCCAGGTTGTCGGCTCAATCCCCAGTAGGGGGCGTTCAGGAGGCAGCCAGTCAATGATTCTCTCTCATCACTGATGTTTCTCTTTCTCCCTCTCCCTTCCTCTCTGAAATAAATTTTAAAAAGAGGACAAATATAATTACCACCCAAGAAGAGAAACTATATGAAAGTGGACAAATAAACAAGTGAGCAAAATATAATCATTATTTACATAATCAAGACGGTCCCGTTCAGAGCCTTGAACCCAAGTAATTGAATAGCTGCCAAAAGGTGATAATTCATGATTTTAGTAGCTTCAAGAAGTTCTCATCTCTCACAATCACTTCTGGATGAACCTCAAAGGCATAAAAATCACGATCATTATCCTGCTTTTGGGGAATAACTCTCACTGCAAATAAGAGATTCCACTGGGAAGCTTCACCCTCAGGCACAATTAACCATTACATCCAGAAACACAATTAACGTATTATCACCACTGTGCTAAAGAAATAAAACCTATAAACTAAGAAAATAAAAGAGCCCTAACCGGTTTGGCTCAGTGGATAGAGCATCGGCCTGCGGAATCAAGGGTCCCAGGTTCGATTCCGGTCAAGGGCATGTACCTTGGTTGCGGGCACATCCCCAGTCGGGAGTGTGCAGGAGGCAGCTGATTGATGTTTCTCTCTCATCGATGTTTCTAACTCTCTATCCCTCTCCCTTCCTCTCTGTAAAAAGTCAATAAAATATATTTTAAAAAAAGAAAATAAAAGAAAAACAGAAACTTCTACTTATTATAACAGAAAGACTGCAAGAACTTATACCTAAATATCAATATGGTTAGGCAGTCATAAGACAGGTGAATAACATTTCTCTTTTTCTGTACCTTTCTAACTTTTAGTTAATGTCCAATTATTACTTTCAAAATCTTTCAAACACTTTATTTCTTAATATTGTTTAAATTATTTTGAAAATTGTAATACAATTTTCTAAATATAGAAGGTTACATGGTAATAAAAAGGCTCCCTTCCACCCAGCTCTTTCCCAGAGGTACCCATTAATTACCAATTTCTTGTCTATTATTCCAGAGTTAGTCAACACAGAAGCAAGCACAAATGTATGTAATTTTTTTAATTGATTTTAGAGAGAAGGAAGGGAGAGGGAGAAACATGGATGCAAGAGTGAAACATCAATCAGTTGCCTCCTGCATGTGCCCCAAGTGGGGATAGAACCTGCATCCTGGGAATGTACCCTGACTGGGAATCAAACCTTCCACTTTTCAGTGTATGGGACAGTGCTCCAACGAAGGGAGCCACACTGGCCAGGGCTGCATATTCTTTTTTGAAACACAAATAATAGTATTTCATACACAGTTTTGCATCTTGCTCTTTTTTATTTAATATATAGTTTTGCAATCTTTCCTCATCAGAACATACCTATAGCTGCGTCATTCTTTCTGTTACATTTAAAATGAGGGCATAACTGGTTTTCTGAACAACATTTTTACCTTGTGGTCAACAACTCCCTTTCTCTCATTAAAAGCAAAAGCAAAAATGGAACCTCAGTGGCCAAAACCGGCATGTTTGAGGAAGATTACCTTTTCTTCTTGAATCCTTTCCTCAATCCTTTTTGAGGCCATTTCATGCACCTTGAAGAGGGCAATCGTGCTGGTTTCATCTGGGTCCAAGATGTTTCCGTTGTCATCTCGCACGACCAGATCTAACCCAAGCATTCTAGAAAGAAAGGAGTGGTCAGCTGGTCCTCAACAGAAACAGACTCCTTCCTGAAGAGCCCTCATGAGAGAGCCAGGAGTCATGGTGAGAAAGCATGGATGCTTGACAAGTCAAGAACAGCTCATTGGCTTGTCTCCTTTCAGTTCCTGTCTACATGCCATATCACAATGTTAAAAAACTTACGATAATACTAGAGGCCTGGTGCACAAATTCGTGCATGGGTGGGGTCCAGCCTGCCTGCCCTGACTGGGGCTGGGCTGGCTGGGGGGAGGGGCTGCAGGAGGTTGGCCAGCCAGCCCCACCCCTGATTGGGGTTGGGGGGGCGGGGCTGATCGGGGGCTGGGCTGTCCGGGGGTAGGAGCCACGGGAGGTTGACTGCCTACCCCGCCCCAGATTGGGCCGGTTGGCTGGCCGCTGTGTGCATCATAGCAACCAGATGTTCTGGTCATTCCAGTCACTTGGCTTTTATATATATAGATGAACCAAACTCATATAATGATTTGCAAAATAATTTGGTCCACAGAACCTCACCAGCAAAGGCAAGATTGGCACTGACCAAATTCCTCTGACCAATGCTTCCTCCCTGTGTCTTCTGCCGTTTGACATAGGAATCATGAAAAGCCACTGCATAAGTATTGGGGGCTTGCCCTGCCACCCTTCAAGGTGCAGGCTTGGGGGACAGTACTAATTCAAGACTGTCTTAAAGGAGATCAATGAAGTAAGACCTGGCTACTGGTATCTCCTGACCCATTTCAGAGTGTGGGCCCTGGTATCAATCAGACCAAGATTTGAATCTTGGCTCTCATACTTGCTAGCAAGGTGGCTCTGGGTAATTTAGGTAATTTTGCAAAGCTCTGATTTCCTGTAAATATTCCCCACCCTTCAGGGTTCTCAGGAGAATTTAATGAGATAATGCATGTAAAGCACGAAACAGTATCTAGTGTATAGTGTACACTCAATAAATGTTAGCTCTTATTGTGGCAACTGGCACAAGAAAACACCTGACCGAGTTAAGATGTAATTCTGAGTAATGCACAGGAAGAGGGAGCTATATGGCCTGTGCATGGCACAGTCCCAGCAGGGCTCTCATGTCCAATGTGCACACAGAAGTAGAAGAAACTGTACTCAGTTCCCAGAAGTGGGGACTGTGGTGGAAACCGGATACTGCTATCTGAATGCCCAATGTACATTCCAGGCACGGGCAATGTGGGACTAGGAGTGTCCAAACAGCAAGAAAACTCAGGGATAACAGTGAAATGTGCCAAATCTTTGGGAAGAAAGCAGAAATGCCTCATTTTCCTCCTCCGTGTTCTATAGCATCTCCATCAACTGATTTCATCTGGCAGGTTCCTTTCCATGGCAGCCAGACCCACAGGCCACCCAGACTCATGAGCAAGGGGCCTCGGTGGCTGCTCAGAGACTGGATCATGCTGCATTGATGGAGCAGCTTCATTACCTGAGCTGCTTCCAAGTGCTGGAATGGGAAGGCAGGCCTGTTCTGCTGTTTGTAGGAGGTTAGCATCTGTGCCAGAGATCAGGGTCTCCCAGGCCAATGCCCAAAACTACAGAGGCAGCATATGTGCAAGGGGGCAGCTACCGTATGCCACCTTTGCTGATTTTTAAGTCCCCTGGCACTAATGATTGGCAAAGCAACCCCTGTGGTTATAGTCCTGTGGATAGACAAGGGACGAGGGTGGGAACTGCTAATTCTTAACCCTAAGAAAGGAGCATTAGACATAAAATAGCAAACTCTTGGGTTCAATTTAAGCTTTCCCACTTATATCTTTATGACTTGGAAGCAAATCACTTAAACTTACTTGGTCTGTTTCTTTAACCATAAAATTGGAATAGCAGCTACAACCAGGTAATACATGTGGAGTGTACGTGAGAAAGATTTCATAAATAATGGCTGAGTCTGAATCTTGTATGCTATGTTCACTCTAGCCATTTCTGAATCCAGCTGTCAAAGTCTACAACATTTAAATGACTCGGACAATTTTAACAGGTCTTTGAAGCATTTCCCAGAGTCATGAAGTTGAAGAAGTAAGGCAAAAAAATCATATATGCACAAGTTGAACACATTTAAAAAATGAGGCTAAATATCAAATCAATCATCAATAAAAACAAAATGAAGAACCAACCCAGTCTTTTAAAAAGAGCCAGTCAGGAGGGATAAACCCTAGGTCATCATAAATTTGACGAATTGACTGAATTTCTCATTTTCTAAAAGGCAGTACTAGAACCTACATATCTGCCTGAGCTAATCAGATAAGTAAGGAAGTGATTAACTCTTTAGAACTTAATGCAGTTATAATCAACAGGCTAAAAACATGCTTTAACTGGCAAAAACATGCTAAAAACTGGCAAAGCTGGTTTGCATGCACTTCTGGTTAGGGGAAGATGGAGAGAGATTGAGTCTGGTACTGAAGTAAAATCCAATGTTAAAATATAAACAGAGACAGTCCAAAAATGTTGCTTCAGCCCCGTTCAGTCTGTCACTAAAATTCGAGCCCCCTTCTCCACCTCTCTATCATCTCCCTGAGATCAGAGACCCAGCACAGGGTCTGGTCCATGAAGGGCACCTGCCAATTTTCTTTTCAACAGAATCAGATGTTTTCCAAGGCAAAAAGAGAGCAGTAAGCATTGCTCTTGGGCAGCTCCCAGGTCAAAAGCTCGGGGTGAGCTGTGTGCTTAGCATTAATGTGTCCACCTTTGTCCAAGTTCTCGGTGAAGTCAGCCCTGGCTTACCTGTTCCCATGATCGATTTTGGCTGTGACCTTCTTCTTGAGCTCTGCCAGCTCGTCCTTGGGGAGTGTTCCAGACAGGATTTGGGACCGCCACTCGATCAGGCTGTATGTCATCTGCTGCAGCCGGCGGAAGAGACTGACCTTGTTGTTCTAGGACAGAAAAATGAGGTGGAGAAAGGGACCCCCACAAAAAAAAGGTGTGATAAAGGATGGAAATGTCTTTTCACCATTTGACTAAATTCTTTATAAGGTGCTATTTAACCAAGTACCTGTGCCATACAGTAAGCCATGCACTGTGAGGGGATGGCCTTGACTTGAGCCAGTCCCATTCCCTTCCCAGTAGAACTTTAGGAACAGATGAGCAATTGTAAGGTCAACATAGCTGCATTTTACACCAATCTCTACCTCAAAAATCTACGCTCCTTCCATGCAGAGCTACGTCCATTTCTCCTGAGCGCTCCAGACCCTTTAATGATACTTCTTCTACTTGGACCCATTTTCTCCTCTCCCCTGCACTTACTCCCTGCTCATCCCTACTCACTCACACACTACACCCTCCATCAACTGCTAATTCTTACCTGTTAGGCCTCAACTTAGAAGTCAGAAGTCTCTTCCTCGAAACCCTAACTCTGAGTTCACTGTCCCTCTCCCAGCTCCTGGAATTAAGTCCTGTCACAGCAACAGAAACCCAGCCTTGACTGGCTTGGCTTGCTCTCCACTTACATGGAAGTGCCTACAGGGCAAGGAGCTTGCCAATTTTTGCATCCCTAGGAGCTGGCACAGAGCAGGCGCTCTATAAAGGGTACAGTGTGAGGGAATTATGGATGGAGAAAGAACTGTCATTTCAGAATGTAAAATGTTATTTTAAAATCCCCATAAAACTGGTAGACCATCCATAAAATTGTGAGATGTAGAAAAAAATTAACCATTATCCTGGGCTTCAGTCAGAACTGCCTGTAACTGAACTAAATTAACTTACGACCAACTAATCATCTGTACTCCAATCATTTTAAGAGTCAAATACTTTATGTCGAGCCATATGACCTTGGTCCTATCTAAATGATTGGTTGATTCATTATATTTTTTAAAGGTTAAGAGCATCTACTATGTGCTGGAAATAAAATTCCAGCCACCAGCGGATAGAGCGTCGGCCTGCGGACTCAAGGGTCCCAGGTTCGATTCCGGTCAAGGGCATGTACCTGGGTTGCGGGCACATCCCCAGAAGGGGGCGTGCAAGAGGCAGCTGAATCGATGTTTCTAACTCTCTATCCCTCTCCCTAACTCTCTGTAAAAAATCAATAAAATATATTAAAAAAAAATTCCAGCCACATTCTAGAGGGCAAAAGACAGCAATAAATAAGTAAACTATATACATTTATATATATACTATTTACATATGTAATATTATATTAATATATATATACATACAAAAGATAATTTCAGACTATGAATAGTACAAGAAGCATCATGCTAAGTGAAATAAGAAATAGGACAAGAACCATATAATTTCACTCATGTGTGGTATATGAAACAGAAAGCAACAGAAGAACAAACAAATTCATAGACACAATAGAACGGTGGTAACCAGAGGGGAAGTGAGATGAGGAAGGATAAAGACAGTAAAGGGGGTCAAATACATGGTGACGGAAGGAGATTAGACTTTGGGTGGAAAACACACAATGCAATCTACAGATGATGTATTACAGGATTGTATACCTAAAACTTATGTAATGTTATTAACCAATGCCACCCCAATAAAGTAAATTTAAAAAGGTGCAAGAAGGAAAATAAATAAAGATATGATAGGGTATACATGGGGAAAGGGGCCACTATAGAGAGATGGGCCAGGAAAAACTGTTTTGTTTGTGACTTCTGAAATATGTCTTTTAAATAAAAACCTGTACAATTCGACACACCCCATGCATACTGAAATACCACGTCTTTTTTATTTATAGGCGAAAAGTCATGATATGTTTATATAACCATACACTTCTAAAATTATAGAAAGTATTACCTGCTATACAAACAATGCCAGCCTGGTCTGTGTGGCTCAGTAGTTGAGCATCACAATTGATTCCAGGTCAGGGCACATGCTCGGGGTTGCAGGCTCAAGCTCCAGTGGGGGTGTGCAGGAGGCAGCCAATCAATGATTCTCTCTCATTACTGATGTTCTTTTTAAATCCTCCCTAATATTTTTCCATTGATTTTTAGAGAGAGTGGAAGAGAGAGGGAAAGATAGAGAGAAGTGAGAAAGGTTGCCTCCTGCAAGCACCCTGACCAGGGCCCAGGCCAGGGAGGAGCCTGCAACCGAGGTAAGTGCCCTTGATCGGAATCGAACCTGGGACCCTTTGGTACATAGGCCAACGCTCTATCCACTAAGCCAAACTGGCTAGGGCTCATTATTGATGTTTCTATCTCTTTCTCCCTCTCCCTTTCTCTCTGAAATCATAAAAAAATATATATTTTTGAAATGACAAAACACACACACACACACACACACACACACACACACACACACACACAGTAGTTGCTGCTGGCTGTACAGCACGTTCTGTTCTGGGTGATGTCCTTCCACAATAATCCCATGGACAGCTGCTACACAAGGTATCGACTAGAATCAGTGCAGCAAACATCCATGATACTCCTGAACAAAGAGTAAACGTGAGGGAGGAGGCCTCCGCCTACAAGTGGGGACAGTGGGAGGCAGCAGTGAGATTAGCAGAGTGTGAGAAAGGCCCGGAAAGAAAGTCAAAGTTCTGTAAGAACATGAGGGAGAGACAAGACGTTTAACGGTGACTGCAATCTGCTCTATTAACACCGCTGATCTGAAAAACACAGGCTGCGAAGACTGCTTAAAATGTTGATACTCACTGCACTTTAGGCTTTTGGCATTTTCTGAACTGCCTCTTTCTCGTCAGCTGGTCTTTTGAAAGCATAAGAATGAGACTTTTAATTCCCATTTTGAATGAGCAAAGGTAAAATTTGTTTTATTTTTTCAGTAAATTCTATAAAAAAAATGCTTCCATCTCGTCCTTCAAACTGGAAAACGGAGGGAGAAATGAAGCTAAATAAAATTTGCTTTCAAAGCTGCTAGGCAAAAAGGAGATCTTTTTTTTTCTTTTCTTATTTGCAATCTATTTGTCTGTTCCCCGCTAGGATTTTTGAAAGGTTTTCTCAATTTAATGAAGCTGTTAGGTCCCATAATGTGGTCAAGAAAGGGCTCGAAGTCCCAGGGGAGCCCCCAGGAGCGACAGCTCTTTGCAAACACACTCACAAGTCTTGGTCTCAATTACACTAGACGTTATCCAAGGCAACTTAATTATTGCCTGTCCATGTCAGCCTTGCTTGCCAAGTTCTCCCCCAAAGAAGGATGAAGACAGCCATTCTTCTCTAACTCACTCTGCCAAATTCATTTTGATCGAGCAGGCTGGAGCACACCAAAGCACACAATTTCCCCCTCTACTTTAAGGAAATGGATTTTGTTGCCACACTCCTCAGATTGTTCTACTAGTAAGTTGGCTGTTCTGAGCCATAGCTGGCCCCTGACACTTTATGGATTCCTGGGGCAGCGTATGAGGACAGGTGAGGAGAAAATCGGGTGCCCGGGCCCCCACAAAACCATGAGACAAGGACCCGTGAGTCTCCATGTGCTTTCCAGTCTTGCCCTAACCTCCCGCCCCCTTTTCTAATCTTGCACAGCCCAAGTTGCCTGGCACAATACCTTCCCTGGTACCTCTAGCCCTCTCTCATCTCCACCTTTTCTTCACTAGCAGCCACTGTCACAAAATTAGGAGGGCAGGACATTTATTTAATAACTAGAGGCCCGATGCACGAAATTCGTGCAAGGGGCTTGGCCCTCACAGCCCTGGCTTCGTCCAGAAGGTCTTCCAGAAGGACGTCCAGTCTAATGAGCATATTATGCTTTTATTATTATAGATTTATTTGATCCTATCTGCAAAAGTTATCACAATCCTGGGACTGAGGAGGGACTCAAAAACAAATTTGGACAACTCAAATGTAAAATGCCACTCCGGTTTCAATTTGAGGATCACCTCCACCAAACAGAGATATCTATATATTTTTTTCTACCAGACAGTAAGATATTCCTGCATTTGTTTCAAGTTTTACTCTCTTTTCCACTAAGAGATCTCTGAGGTCTTATTTTTACGTTTTGATTCTGGATGCCTACCTACCTTTATTTTGTGTAGAGGGGGTAGGTGGAGGTGGAAGTGGGTATAAGGGGATGAATGGTAATGGGAAAAAATAAAATAATTCCTTTAAAAAGTTATTGTTTTATAGGGTAATTATATACCTAAGTCTAATTTTGCAAAATTTTATGTTTGTCAATGATCACATATTGATCATTAATGATAATATTCCTATGAGCTGCAACAAATGTTGTTTACTGGACATCAATACCATAATTACTTTTTTTAAAAAGACCTTCAAAATTATTTTAATGTAAAAGGAAACTAATTGTGACATGAAAATGCACATTACATATGTGGTTAGAAGTTAATGATAATTGACTATTTTTGTTAAATTGCTATAAATAGGGAAACTCCTAAATTTGGAGGCATATTCAAAATGATAGAATTATTTTATAGGCTATTTAACAGCAAGCTTTCTTTAGAGAAGCATATTATATAAGTATCAGCCATGGGATTGCAAATGTATTTATTTTTAACGGTTATGTAGATATAGTTATTAAAATGTACATGCCTAGTACAAAAAGTACTTTGTAGTGATAAAATAAATCCATAAGAGAAAACAACTTTGCCTTCAATGATGGCAGGAATACAGAGGGCAAAAACTGAGTATTTTAGGAATTCTGGGGTCACTGAGACAACAGCACCGCCTCACTGGGGTCAGAAACCTGGGTTCAATGCTCCCCTTTCCTAAACAATGCAGACCACGGTCCAAAGGCGGTTCTCTGTTCCTCCCATCGCCCTCTGCAGAAGAATCACCAACCTTTCCTGTTCCATGGGATTTTAGGGTTTAGAGGCTAAGTATTTAACTGAATGTATGGGGACCTGATTTCTATCTCTAAGTCTACCATTAACTTCCTAAGTGACTTTGGGCAAATTATTCTGACACACCCACCTGTAAAACCAAGGGACGGGCAGGAAGATCCCTTCCTTCCCTAGGAG